AATGCATGAGATGAAACATCTTGGAATAGTTTCTGAATCTTCTACTTGCAAAACGTTCCAATAAAATATATAGAATTAGTGAAGGGATGGAGTTCTAGACTCTGTTTACCCACCCGTAAAATAGATACAGTAATCATTAGCTACTGTACCTAACAGTGTGTTGTGTGTTATGAGGCTTGTTGGTTTACAAATCTCTCTGATGACTTTGCTGGATGAACGGAGCAATAATACCAGATGGCTTTGGGTACAAATCCAGATATGAACTTTTCAATATTTCAAAGAAGTTTGTGTAAGCCACTCATCAGTATGCATCCACAGAGGGTATAAGTTTGTTCATGCTGTCATTTATACAACCAGTCTCGTTACCCCGAGAGGCAGGGCAGGGCTGAAGAGTTGTGGGAGGAGGGATAATTATATCACACCCTGAACTCAGGAGAGGCCTCCAAAACATCTGGGTAAATAAAGAAATGGGAGGGAGGTGGAGTTCAGCAAAGCAGATGTACTGAGCCCCCAAATTTCTCTCAGTGGGCCTGCACAGAGGTACAGGTTTTCTGCTCAGGAGATTTACAGATTAATCCCTGGTTTGTGGTCAATGAGGACAGATACCATATAAGTGGGCACTTGTCTGGGAATTCACATACTCAGACTGATCTTTCTCTGGCCAGTGGAAATATGTAAACCACTGCTAAGACCATGTGTATTATGCATGAACAACAGCAGATGTTGGCAGGTGACGTTTTTTGAGGAGTAACGTTAGTTTGAACCAAGGGGTTTGGTTCGAACTAACACATCCCGGCACGCACTTCCTTTTTTGAATCAGATGTGATTCAAACTAGCGCGCTGGCGAGATCATGCTAATGAAGCGCAGGATAAATCCCAGTTTCATTGTCTATATCAAATGCCTGCATTTGCATCTCTAGTTCGAACTAGGGTGCAAGTGTAGACATACCCAATGAGAATGCACAAATTCCACATGCATTAAAGCAAATTCCTTTCTCCATGAAAGTCAATTCCCATGAAATTTAACGATGCAGGATCAACCCACAGGCAAGACTCTGTGTGCTCTGGGTCTAGAGCACCACAGAAAAAAATTAGTGGGTGTTTAACACCCACCGGCAGCCAGCTTCCCACACCATTCCAGCCCGACCCATCAACTCCTCCCGCACCCTCCCAATGACTCCTGCCTGCCTCAGTCAGCTCTTTTGCAGGATGCTCTGGGAGGGAGGGGAGGCCTGGGGATGGGACATGCTTATGGGAGCGAGTGGGAAGAGGTGAGGGGGTGGGAAGAGATGGGGTTGAGGTGAAGACTTGAGGGAAGAAGTAGGGTAGTGACAGGGCCTGGGCTGGAGAGGGGATGGGAGGAGACAGGACAGTGTTGGGAGTTTAGGGGAAGGGGCTGGATGGGAGTGGGAGCAGGGTCTGGACAGTGTCTGGAATTGAGCACCCAGGCCCAGAGGAAGCCAGCGCCTATGATCAAGACCATTGTGGGTGTATCTCCTTTGAAGCAGGCTGCATCTGAGCACAAAATAACAGCTGCTTCTGCAGCAGGAGGGCAGCCTCTGTCTATTTGAAGATGCAGTACACAGAGAACAAATGACAAAAGATGCAAGTTACATGCACCCTGTGGACAAAGTTGACCCCAAAGTAATTTTTATGCCCATTTTCTTTATGTTCTGGGACAAGTTTTTCACTATACATATATATATATATATGACTTATTTTTATAGATTTTGGTTTATGATAACATGTGGTATGGTAACTTTTTAATTCTTTTTCCACTACTGTAAGGAGCACAAGAAACTTTGTAATAAAGGTCTGGACTACACTGAAAACTTAGCTTAACCTAGCTATGTTGCTCACGGTTGTGAAAAATTTCACACCCTCTGCAAGATAGTTAGATCAATCCAACCTGCACTGTAAAAGCAGTTAGGTTGCCAGAAAAAGTCTTCCATTCCTCTAGTTGTGGAAAAGGTGGATTTACTACAATGCTAGAAAACCCCTTTCTGTCAGTGTAGCACATGCCTGCTCTACTATGGTGTAGCTGCAGCACTGTAGTGTAGATGTATCCAAAAACCTCCTGCAAAACCATTCACACCTGTGAGTGCTCTTGCTCCTTAACCAAGGAAAGCTATGAGTCTCAGAGCTGGTACAGAGATGTTTCATTGCTAAGAAAAACAAATACACCTCTTCCAAGAAAGTGGCATGCAGGAGCAGAACTAACCATTTTGCTGTCTAAATACTCCCATGGGCCCAGGCCCTTCCCTTCCCCTCCCATCCCCCCAAAGCCAACTAATCAGCACAGCAAAAACAGCTGGCCAACCACAATGGTGCAAATAAATAAGTAATTACATAAAACCCACATGGCACAGGGTCCAGTGTCCTTGGAAACTGGAATCAAGGCAACTATGGCCACCCCTACAAATGACACATGGGCTCTTCCAGAGAGGGTGTTTGTGTCCCATTAGTGCACCTTTTTTTTTTTTTTTTTTTTTTTTTGGAGGGAAGGGATGAGGGAGAAATACCACAAATACTTTCACATAACTGCTGTGGCTAACTAGACAGACTCA